CAAATTCTCTTTTCTTTGGATTATTCTCACTTTCTTACTCTAATTTTTCTACTTTCTTATTCTTTTTTTTTTAAAGATTTTATTTATTTACTCGTCAGACAGAGAGAGAGCACAGCGCAGGGAGAGGGAGAAGCAGGCTCCCTGCTGAGCACGTGGGGCTCGATCCCAGGACCCTGAGATCATGACCTGAGCCGAAATCAAGAGTCAGATGCTTCCCCGACTGAGCCACCCAGGCGCCCTCTACTTTTTTATTCTTATTATCATTTACAATTAGTTTATTTTAAGGCCTGCCCTCTCTCTCTTAGAAACCTCAATGACCATCCTCAGACTTTTTCAGCATTGATGGCAGGAAATTCATTCAGAAACTTCAGGTTAGTTTCTACCCCTCCAACTGCTGTAGGACCTATAACACATCACTTTAGCTCTGGAGGTCTCAGTTTTCTCACTTTTTAAATGATGGGTTTCTTCCCATTTTGAATAGTGTGTTCAAATTCAAGGAGTCTTTTAATAAGTAACTTTTGAAATTCAAATGCATTTTTCAAAACGTGTTTGGTGTATAAGAGGCTTATGTTGTAGGTACGGATTTTATAAGCCACATATTCAAGTGGATAAAAGCCAACTTTATTGTCCTAGTAGAACTTCATTTTTATCTCAAGCTTCCCTTTCACCCAGTGAAATATGGCCACTTTAGATTGACTCATTCAATTCAATGATTTCTCAGTCTCTTAGATGCATTTTTCAGATGAATTCAGTAAATGCAAGCCTCTTTCTTCCCACTCCATTTCTTTCTGGGGGTGGCATCTGACTTCCCAAAGATTCGGTGAAATCCGCTATTCGGTGGGAGTGTGCGTTGGCCACCGTCTGTCCTCTGGAAGACTCATGTGCATCAAGAGAGGGAGTAGCGGATAGTGATCAGGGGACAGATCACAAAAGGCCTTCATACGGAGGCTCACAATAGGAAAGTCAGAAAACGGACTTGACTCTCCTCGAGCTCGTCTTGTGTCCTTGCCTTTGCAAATGTTGTTCCCTCTGCCTGGAACACTCCCTACTCCGTTCTGCTACCTCGTATTGCCCTATTCCCACCATCCATTAGCTAAAAATTGACTCTTCACATTCAGCTGCAGGTTTCCCTGTCTGAGGACGGTGTGTTTCTCGTTCAACAAAACATTTATATCAAAGCAAGCCCTCGGAAGTTTCTCCTGACAGGTGATAAGTCAAAAACAACTCCTGACTTTGATGGCTATTTGGCTTGTGCGGAAGTTGGGTGGATTTTACAGGGTGACTACGGCATACTGTAAACTTCATCAGGCAGTAACTCCAATTATAGCTACTTTTCCATTTGAAGTATCTTTCCTGGCATAAATCACCCCAGTCCCTAGCAACTGGTATGCTGTTACTGATCTGAAAGTACTTCTCTCCTCCATAATAATCTGTGAGAACCACCGAGAGTAGTTTGCTTTAATTTAGTGGGACCAATAGTGCACATTCATGATCTTGCCTTAGGTCAAAGCACTTCTCTTGCTCTCTCCCACAAGATCAGCAGAGGTTTTTGGGTGCCTTAACATCCCACAGAACATCACACTGGCCGGCTCTGTTGATGATATCTTGCTGACTGGATCTGATGAACAGGAAATAGCAAGTTCCTTCGATGCCTTAGTCAGATGCAGGTCAGCTAGTGGTAGAGGGGAAACATCCCTCCACCTGTGAAGCAGGATATCATTCAGCAACCGGTCAGGAAGGCAGAAGGAACTACACAAATTAAACAACAAGAATTTAATATAAGGAAAGGGTTAAACATGCTGACGAACTGAAAAACTAAAATGGGACCATCATGATGTGGGAAGCAAAGGCAGAAGAAAAATTATTAAAGTTCCTTACTACCTAGAGTCCTTGAAACAGGCAGAGTGACTTTCCTCTAGGGACTCGGCTGCCTCCATGTTAATACTTTGCTAAGGGCAAAAGGCAATCCTAGCCCGACCCCCAGGATCCTGTAAGTCTACTTTGGAAACTTCTTTCATCTCTAAAGCCCCCACGATGCATGTTGGCAATCATCCCACAAGCATATGGCCCACCGATAGACATCTGAAGGATCTCATGACTCAGGTTTTATGAGACGGTAATAAATGACCTTTCCCCAACAATAGCTAGCCCCTTCAAGGTCCTGGAAACCTTGCTTCCAAAATTCCTTAGAGATTTCCACTATCCCTAACCCCCTCCCAACTTGAAAGTATATAATGGGCCACTCCTCATGACCCCAGTGCCGCTCTTTCTGCCCACGGGTCCTGTCCCCGTGCTTTAATAAAACCACCTTTTTGCACCAAAGACTTTGGCTGTCGGCTTCGAACCCTAATGTCTTTCCTACGTCAATCAAATCAACAGAAATAGATGATTCAGTTAGTAATTGTCACTGCTAGAACAGATTTGAGAAGTTAGGGTTACAACAGCCAGAACTTGGAGGGAAAGTTCTATAGAATGACTCTTTTCTTTTTTAAAGATTTTACCTATTTATTTGACAGAGAGAGACACAGCGAGAGAGGGGAGGGAACACAAGCAGGGGGAGTAGGAGAGGGAGAAGCAGGCTTCCCGCGGAGCAGGGAGCCGGATGCAGGGCTCGATCCCAGGACCCTGGGATCATGACCTGAGCCAGAGGCAGATGCTTAACGACTGAGCCACCCAGGCGCCCCTATAGAATGACTCTTGAAGGGGGACAGTAATTACAGGGCTACTGCCAACTCTCCGGAGCTCAGAAGGGCGGTCCCAGGGTAAAATCCCAGACTCTTTAAGGAGGGTCACTTCTCAGGGCTTACTAAACATCTGAGGGAGTATGATGAAATCTGCTCCAGGAGAGCTAAAAAAAAAAGTTGGAGACTGGAACCAGCTGTCACTGCCAGGTTAACTTTTGTTGCTGTGGTGACACTCCTGTGAAATGCAAGCAGAAGGGGAAACAGCAAATCCCTCTTCCCTTCCCCTCCCGGCCTCTCTCTAGCTCCCCCTATTGTCACAATTTTTAATAAAGCTTTTAGCGAAGGAGAAACCACACTGTAGCGTTCCAACAAGCTAAATAAAGAAGGGTGTGTTTGAAACAGAGCTGTTATCTGCTTAACAGCTGGCACATTTATTACAGGAAAGTTCTGACTCTTAGCAAGACTGTGCTCAGTTAAGCCCTAATCTACCTCCTTGGCCGTTACTACCTAAATCTTGGGTTAGAACTCATGCTAAAGCCTAAATACTTTCTCTAACCCTAAGGATTTGGTATTTCCCCAAACTCGTTAAAAAAACTCTCAAATCACAGATTATATCCTCTGTGCTTTTGCTCAGAGTAGTCATTCTGTGTGGAACTGTTCCCATCCCCCTCATCCCACAGATTTCCCGACTGTCTTAGAAACAATAATTTACACTTACTCAACACTTACTATTGCTGCACATTATTCTAGACTCTTTGCATATTTAACTTATTTAATCCTTAACACAACCCTCTGAGGTATACATTATTTACTTCCTCCTTTTGCAAATAAAAATAGCTATATAACCTGCCCAAAGTCATGTAACTAATAAAAAAGTAGACCCGGTCCTCCAAAACTCTGTCATAAGCAATTTAAAATACTGCCTTATAAGATCCAAATCAAAGGTCACCTCCTCTGAAAGGACTGACTTCTAGAGTCCCTCAGGCCAAATTATTTGCTTCCTCCTTGATACTAATATATTTTTACCATGGCAGAGCTTTTCAGCGTACATGATCTTTTTACTGATATTTATATCTGTGTACCTTCTAAAAATAATCTAGTCCACAGCTGTCTAATAGAACCTCCTGCAACGACAGGGTTCTATCTGTGCTTTAGTAGCCACTAGCCACACGTAGCTATTAAACAGTTGAAATGTAGCCAGTGTTACTCATTTTGTTTTATTTAAATTTATATCTAAATAGCCACAGGTGGCTAGTGGCTACAGTATTGGGTAGTGAGGATCCAGTGCATAACATAGCACAGAACCGTTCCTCAAAAAAAATTCACTGAACGAATGAATCCTTCGTGAAAAACCTCATTGGGAAAAAAGAAAACACTTTCTTAGCTTCATTTTTTTTTTCTTTCAAGCCATATACAGATTCATATTGGTTTACTTCATTAATAAACATGTATTTGAGTAAACATTCAATGAAATATTATATAGCTCCACTATCAAGATCTAGTCCATATTTTATCTGCATAATAATACATATCTATATGCCACATTAAGTGACTTTATTTTTTGCAAAAGTTTTTAAAGGATTTCAGTCAATTTGTGTGTAAATATTTAATTTACAACTGTCGATGCTGGCTCAGCAATCATTTTTCTTCTCTGCATTGTTTACTGATAAATCCCAAATGACTAGGTCAGTGCCTGAAGGAATGAATCATATATACGAGGGCATCTTTGTGAGATGTGAAAACTTACCAATTATTTTCGAATATTATGTAATTTTTATGAACACTTAATGTAATAACTGAGGAAACATGTTAAATCCGTAGACGTTAGACATCTATTCCTTTTAATTTCGAAAATTTTTTCTTTGGCGTTTTGGAGCAAATACCCTATCATTTCCAATTTATAAACAAAAACTGACGTTGTCTTCTAGAGGCTTCTCACATCCTCCTCAAAATGCTTGACTGAAAATAGGCCTTTGGCTGGGCTGAAACCGCAATATTTAAAATGTAAACGTATAAGGACAAGGGGCTTGGAAGGAAGTTCTAAACTGGTTAGAAGTGAGGCTAACGACAACTAAGACTGAAAGCGTCCACCCAATGAGGCCAGGGATCCTGTGCCCCAATCCCAGCGTCAGCTCCCCAAGCCGGGAGATCCGCGAGGCCCGCCGCCTACCCGGCTGAAGCCCCGCCCGCCCACAGGCCCCGCCCAGCCGCACCGAGGCTCCGCCCCTCCCAGGCTGTTCCTCCGGCCTCACTGAGGCTCCGCCCCCACTGGCCCCGCCCCACCGCGAATGCTGCCATAGAAACCCAGAAAGGGACATGGCTGCCGCCGGCCTGAGAGAAAAGTTTTTGATACTGCCGGCGGCTGCCCTACCCACGTCACCGTCATTTTCACCACAGGCGGCAGCTCCCATCCGGGGGAAGCCTAAGAAATGGCTGGTCTATCCGCATCCACCGAAGAGCTCCCGCCTGTCTCGGTCGGTTCTGCGCTGGCTCCAGGGCCTGGATCTCACCTTCTTCCCCAGGAACGTCAACAGGTGCAGGAGCGAGCCGCCTAGACGGGCGTCTGGGCCTGAGCATCCCGGGGACCCACGGACGACCCCGTTGCCCCGCCTGCCCCGCCACGGCGCAGGGGCCGCCCCACTCAGCTAGCCTGCTCCGCCCCGTCTAGGTTCCAGTGCCAGACCCCTGCGCGCGCACACACACACAC